TACATATTGAGAGTCGTTCGATCCTGTTTGTACACAACTAATATAACCCTATCAATTGAATTTCAGAATCAACGTACCTATATGCAAATATTTTGGTGTAGAGTCTTCTATTCTTTATCTCATTAAAATAACAAGAGATTTGTTTTGAACAGAGAAAAAAAAAAGTCAAATTGATCCTTAAATTATTTATGGATACTATTGCAATATGTGTCCAATTTTAGTTCCTTGACTTCTAAATTTTTATCTAAAATAATCCATTAACTCGAATATGATTTAGAATGATCCAACAAATGGACTATTTTGTATCATATTTAAGAGTTCAGGGATTAAGCTGAACACATTAATAGTATGAGAATAAAATAACCACATACAAATAATTTGGAGATTGTTTTGATCATTTATATTCAAAACAAGTAAACATCAAAGAATTTTCTATTATAATTCTCAACTATTTGTTTGACAAGGAAGAATGGTGTGGCAAAGATGGCCAAGCAAAATAGAGACATTTTGAGACAGATGAAATAATAAAAAAACTTGGGAGAATGAATATTGTACAGTAGAAGACAAGAGAGACTACTCTGCCATTGTTAGTGCAGTGACATCTATAGTTAATCAAAACTCATTCACACAGTTGCACATACAGATCCTGTAAAGCAGGTGGGGGAAAAAGTCCAGTTAATAGAGAAAATAAATAATCAGAGCACATAAACCAGATTTCAAGCAGTGCAGAAATATCAAAGTAGAGAACTGGAATTACTAGTGAAGAAGGGAAAACCTGAGGACCATGAGGAACAGCAGAGTTTTCCTTCATTAATATGCTTGACATCAATCCCAATAAACCATGATCCAGCACTTACATCATCATGAGCGTATGTTCGAAGAATGGATCTGCCACATAGAATATATATATTTTTTGCCAATTATAAAGATACAGTGCAAGTTAACTTGAACATTTGATCCAGATAAACTGGATAGACGTTGATTCATGGTGCTGAAAATTAGATCGAACTGGGCAGTTAAGGGGGTCTTCATATCAATTTGGTTCAACTGATAACTTGGATTTGTAGGAAACTGAGATCAACCAGTAAAAAATTATGTCCAAATCACTGATCCTTCTAAACTGAGAACAGTTGAACCGATTTAATCGAAATTGCAATGGCAAAATGATTTTGAGATTATATATATATATACATTCTCACTTATTAGAAATATTATATCATTTAAATAATTTTAATAATATTTAGATTATTATGTCATTAGCTTTTAGTGATTTATATAATAGATTAAATATTAAGGAGGGAGAAAGATATATGCATAAGTTAACCAAATAAAGAGATATGAGTAGTAAGGATTTAGTTCAAGTGAAGTGTATTAAGGATGAAAATCAAAAAATAATTTTCTTAGAAGAT